TTTGGCATTGGGGGAATATAGATAAGTGTAAGAGAAGCCAGTATCTTCTGTCCTCAAGGATCCTAAATGAAAAAGACAAAAGTGATTAAGTGAAAAAGACAAAAGTGAATAAGTGAAAGAAACAAAATAGTATATATATAGTGCTTTGCCACACATGAGTGAGATAAAGGAAGAGCTGTAGGATTTGAAATAATTGAAATAGAGGAAGCAGAAATATTATGGAGGAAAATGATAAGGGATATGTGTTAGTTAACAGATGCTATATTAGAATTTCAAGTGGAAATGGAAATATTAGAAGGTACAGTTCCAGAGTTCGTAGAGTGGTAAGGAGGAAATGTAAAGATTGGGAATCGTTTCTATAGGAGTGAGGTTGACATAGAGTAGAGGCAGTTAACAAGAAAGATAATTTACAGAGAGAGGAGGAGAGGGAAAAAGTGTGAAATTACTAGATATATAGAATGGAGGAACGATGGGATGGAGGAGGAAAATGATCCTAGCAAATTAGGCACATAGACCTAAAAGAGGAATCAGGATGATGAAATTCTGTGAAAAACCAAACTAGAGTTTTGAGAAGGAGGGAAGATTAGTGGGAGTATTTAATGATTTAAAAGAGTAGTGCAGTAGAGAAGGTGTATATATAGGTGTGTGATGGAAAGGTAAGGGTAGGTAGGGCTTCTCATAGGCAAAATGGAAACTTAATGAATGTGAGAATGAGGTAGGCAGGCAGTATAATAGGCTGTGATTTCTTTAGAGAAAAGATAGGTAGCAGTATGGCAGTGAACATAGAAACAGTTCAAAAATTAGAAAAACAGAAGGTCTTCATGTGGCAATATCTGCGTTTCAACTCAAGATTGGGGGGGACCTGAATTTGTACCCATTTGTCCTTGTTAATGTTTTTTTGCCATTTTTCTTCTTATCTCAACGTTTTGCTTTTTGTCTCTCTATACCAGTTAGACATTTTTTTCCTTTGTTTCTGATTTTTGTTTTTGGGTTTTTTTTTTTGAGATAGGGTCTCACTGTGTCACTCAGGCTAGAGTGCAATGATGGCATGATCTCAGTTCTTTGTAGTTTTGACCTCCTGGACTTCTCTCATAATCAGCCTCCTTAGTGGCTGGGACTTTAGGCATGTACCACCACCACGCCTAGCATATTTTTTGTAGAGACCAAATTTTGCTGTGCTCAAGCTGGTCTTGAACTCCTGGGCTCAAATGATCCACCTCCCTCGGCCTCCCAAAGTGCCGAAATTATAGATGTGAGCCACTTTGCCTGGCCCATTTTTTTTCCTTTGACTTAACCTCTGCATAAATTTGTTCCTAAATATGCTTATTATAATTGAGCTAAGGATTTTCTTTCTTTTTTTTTTTTTGAGACAGAGTCTCACTCTGTCAGCCAGGCTGGAGTGCAGTGGCACAATCTCGGCTCACTGCAACCTCTGCCTCCCAGGTTCAAGCGATTGTTCTACCTCAGCCTCCTTTGTGGCTGGGACTACAGGTGCCTACCACCATGCCCAGCTAATTGGCCAGGCTGGTCTTGAACTCCTGACCTCCTAAAGTGCTGGGATTACAGGCGCGAGCCCACCGTGGCCCAGCAAGCCACCATGCCCATTTGTTCTTCTAAGAACAAATGTTTTTCCCCACAGGCAATAAAACAAATTTAGCCTCAACAATTAACAAATGTGTCATTAACGTGGGCACTTCTCCTTTATGTTGCCAAAAGATACATTTATTTATCTTTAAGTTTGATCCTGTTTTTATTCTAATAGGTGAAATATACTTTCATTGCGTACTGTTATTTTGTAATTTTGATTTTGGGAGATGCCGTTCTAGCTGATGATGAGAATTGCTACCATTCATTCACTGTATTCTGTGTGCCAGACACCATGCTTGCCAGGCGTTTTTGCAAATACTATGTTCTAGTTATCATTACCCCCATTTCAAAGTGAGAAAGCTTAGGCTTGGAAACGTTAAGATACGACCATGGCTGAACAACTCGTAGTACTTAGTCTTCCCACCCGAAATCTAGTTTTGGAAGCCTTCCTCTTTGTCTGTTGCTGCACTGCCTCTCATTTCAGGAGGATTGTCTCTTACAAGCTTCTTTTTTCCTTGCCTTTACCCATTATGGGCTGGCTTTTCTGGATAGCACATTCCAGTTGACCTTGATGTTTGTATGTGGTAAACTATTCTTTCCTTTCTGCTTCCTTCCCCCTTTGTCTAGTGGCATAGCTAATCATCTGATAGCCTAATTAATTAGAATGTAATGGTGGTGGTGATACAAAATCAGTGTACTAACTTTGATTTAAATTCTCTTAGTCTTTAATTTTCTCTTTATTTTTTCTTGCCAAACTTTAGTGATAAGTATATCAGTTTGGATGATTAAGCCTATCATATTAATTTCTTTAAAATATGTGGAAAGTTTTGCTCTTTAGAAATCAGTTTGAGAGTCACATGTTGATTTATCACCTATTCGAAAGAATTTTTTATAGCAGTTCTTTTTTGTAACACCATACTGAGTAATTAATATTTTTTATTTTTAAAATGAACTATTTCAGCCATATAAAGGTACTCAAAATAATTATACATATCCCTCTGTACTCACAGACTTAAGAAATAAAACATGTATAGATGAAGTTGAAGCCCTTGCGTGTGTGTCTCCCATTTGCTCTTTGCTCCTTTCTTCCCACAGCACAGGTTGAGTATCCCTTATCCGAAATGCTTGGAACCAGGAGTAGTTCAGATTTTTGATTTTTTAGAGGATTATACGTCTGGTTGAGCATCTTTAATCTGAAATCTGAAGTGCTCTAATGAGCATTTCCTTTTCAGTGTCATATTGGCACTCAAAAAGTTTGGAGTGTGGAGTTTTGGTTTAGGGATACTCAACCTGTATTGAGTTTTGAATTAAGGATGATCACAAGAGTTTCTTTTTAATATGCAAAAAGATAACAATTTTTCTTGTGTATTTAAAATGTATTTGAATTTTTTATATTTTAAATTAAAAGCTCAAAGGAGCGTTGACTTTATAACTGCTTGATGGGTATTTTTATTTTCCAGATGCCTTACATGTATTATAGTAGGTTAGAGAAATGTTTATGATGTATTGCTTTTATTCATTTCTTTTTTCCTTAAACAGAGTGCAATAGAGTCTCTTTTTGGAGCATCATTAACTGGGATTGCCTATTCATTGTTTGCTGGGCAACCTCTAACAATATTGGGGAGCACAGGTCCAGTTCTAGTGTTTGAAAAAATTTTATATAAATTCTGCAGGTAAGTAATAGTCCTCTACTTATCACGTGTGTTTGGATGTATATACAATTATATATGAAATTGTTTATTAACTTAGAAGGGAATTACCTAATTGCTGGAAAGTAATGCATTCTCATTATTTTTGAGCTACTGTATGAATGACTGCACTCTGGCCTCTTCCATTCTTAATCCAGTAACTTGGAGATGAAGAAAGTAAGATTGTCTTTGAGTATAAAATCACTGGATTTGAATGCTGACAAGCAAATAACTTGAGGGCTAAATACAAATCCTTTGTGCCAACAAATTTAAACCAGTAAGAAGGTGTTAATCTGAGTTGGGTTGAAGCAATCAGAGTGAAGTGTCAGTTTCTGTTGGTGAGGTTGTTCACGCTGCAGAAATGAATATAGTGTACTGTAGCTGTTAGACTTTGAATTCAACATGGCTAGTGCTGTTCCTTATTTTATCTATTTATTTTTTTGAGACTGAGTCTCACTCTGTTGCCCAGGCTGGAGTGCAGTGGTGTGATCTCGGCTCACTGTACCCTCTGCCTCCCAGGTTCAAGTGATTCTCCTGCCTCAGTCTCCCGAGTAGCTGGGATTACTGGTGCTGCCACCATGCCTGGCTAACTGTTTTATCAGTAGAGATGGGGTTTCACTTTGTTGGCCAGAGTGGTCTCAAACTCCTGACCTCAAGTGATCCACCCACCTCAACCTTCCAAAGTGCTGGAGTTACAGGTGTGAGCCACCGCGTACCCAGCTTCTAGTATTCTTTTTGTGACATAAATGAAATTTATATGTTTTAGCTTAAACAACTTGATGCTATGACATATTTGATGGATCCAACTCTGTTTTTCTGATTCCATGCTCACTAAAGCTTAATGCAATTCCAGTCTGGCATGCCACATAGACTAATAGAGAATGCAATGACCTGAAGTATGGATTCTAATTTCTTGAAGTTTAAAATAAGAAATTACTTTCTGTGTGATAATGGTGAGAGAGGAGAGTAATGGTAGTCATGGTAATGATGTTGGAGCTGATTACTAAATTGACACATATGACGTCTGCATCTTTAGATGGAGTAAGATGCAATGGTTTTTTCATATAGACTCCATGTCTGTCATTTACTCATAACTGATTTATAAAGTGAGCTCTAATGATTTTGAAATATTTATTGTCTAGTAGATTTTCACTGTAAATCTTTTATATAAGTTAAAACAAATCTATTAATAAGCTAGTCTTCAGTTGAAGCAGAAGAATATGTTAGAGTTTTCTCTAGTTGTTATTTTGTCATTCTGTGATTCATTCTCTTTTAGGATTCATGTTTTCATGCTGTTGCTGTTGCTTGCTATGACAAATTTTAGGTACAAATACTATTCCATATATGTTTATCATATTCATATTTTTCTTTCTAAACAGAGATTATCAGCTTTCCTATCTGTCTTTAAGAACCAGTATTGGTCTGTGGACTTCTTTTCTGTGCATTGTTTTGGTTGCAACAGATGCAAGCAGCCTTGTGTGTTATATTACTCGATTTACAGAAGAGGCTTTTGCAGCTCTTATTTGCATTATATTCATCTACGAGGCTTTGGAGAAGCTCTTTGATTTAGGAGAAACGTATGCATTTAATATGCACAACAACTTAGATGAACTGACCAGCTACTCGTAAGTATTTCTCTTTTCCTCTAATAGTAAAATGTGTTTTTGCAAAGATGTCAAAGATGAATTTTTTTGCAGTGTCATAGTGTAACTATCACTATAACTACCTGACTAGCCATGTGATAGTGACGTGTTTGTTTCAGATGAGATTTTGTCAAAGCATTCAGTGGACAAAAATAAAATTGGTAAAATTCAGTCTTTTTTGTCCACTGAAATAGCTTATTCACTTGTTTGAATTGGATTGGCCAATTTAAATTTGATTGTTTGGCAGCTGATCCACCATATATTTGAGTCGAGCAATTGTTACATTGGATCTTATATTCTTTAACTAAATCTTAGATGTATGATAGAATGTAGACTATATTTTTTATATTTGTGTATTCTTCAAATTTTGCATCATTAATATTTTTAAAGCTTGATAATTTTTAATGAAAGTTATTTCAATACATTCATCTGCTGTTTATAGTGTTTTCCTTTTGATGAGAAAAATATGCAATGAAAATCTTTTTAAACTCTAAAATAAAATAGGATTTGAAAAGAAATGTATAATAGTTACAAAAATTTGGCAAGTATATTCAATAAAAGTAAAATACACTTTAAAAGTAGACATCTCTAAGTAGATGCCTTTATTTGGTGTCTGTAGCAGTCACGTTTGGTATAAATGCGGGACTGCATTTGATTGATTTACAGGGAAAAATATGGTTACCAAAGACACAAAAGGATACAACTTTTCTTTTTCTACCCACCTAAGCCCCAGATACATGTGCTTTCCCCCTTTCGTTTATTCGTCCTTCTTCCCCTGCTACTCCTTGCACACACTTAATGGACAGAATAAAGAGGGTATGAAAATTCCTGTGATATTGACCTATTTGAATATACTAGTTACACTATGATGCCGAATTAGAAGACTTAATTAAAAAAAATTTTTTTTTGTCTTTCTTTTCTTGCCTTTGGCTTCTTTGACCTTTATAAAGCATGACTTTTATAGTTAGTGTCAGCCAGTTAGAGTAATGTTTCCTTCTATGAAAAGCATTTATTTGGCCAACATTCTGTGAACATCTGCAGGCACTGTATTCGGAGTGTTGCCTAATTTATATTATAAATTATATTTGTAGTGTTACCTGTTCACATCATAGCCCCTTTTGTGTATGAAGAAGCTGACTGCCTTGGAGGTTAAAACTTGCCTTAGGTCAGTCAGCTACTAAAAGCGCCTGGATGGACTCCAAAGTCTGTCTTCTTGCTTTTTCTCAAACAGCTCATAATCGAGTTTGGAATGTTCGTGATTATTTCTTTTCATCTTTTAAGTTCGTATTTAAAAGTTTCTTCGCTTATGTGTGTTCTAGCTTTTTTAGGTGGTTGAAATAGTTCTGGATATGAACTCAATACTGATTTCCTTATAACTCTCCTAGTCCTGTCCTGATGAGAAACTATTTTTTATTTATTTAAGAATGAGCCTTAAGATCAATAAAGGGTGACTGTGAGTAGGTAGGGCTGGTCAGATATAAAGAATTAATGGTAGTATAACTCTTATTGGGACTCTATACATGCAATGGGGGTTTGGGAAGAGACAGCAGTAACTGCTGTGGAGGTCGAGTAGATAAGCTTTAGTGGAGACTCATCTTGCTAAACATGGTGGACTCATCTCAGATTTTTAAGTAAAATAGTGCTTCCCAGCAAGGACACATTTTAACTAGCTTAATTCACTAAACATTTTGGTATTTGTATTGGGTTTATTTCTATAACCCAAACTTTGTTCCATTCTGTTGTTTCTGATGTAGTTTTCACTTTCTAGTCTCCATGCTTTGTAATGTGGGGAAAAAAGTGAAGAAGTTAAAAACTACCACAATGTATAATTGATTTAGTAAAATGTAAGCATGAAATTCAGGATTCTTAAAAATGTATCCTACTCTAATTTCTCAGATGTGTATGTACTGAACCTCCTAACCCCAGCAACGAAACTCTAGCGCAATGGAAGAAAGAGAATATAACAGCACATAATATTCCCTGGAGAAATCTCACTGTTTCTGTGAGTATATTCTGAAATAAAGGGTTTTAAATATATATTGATATGGTTCTGTTAGATTTTTCTAATTAGACATACTTTTCTTCTTGATTGATGGATAGGTAGTATGTTTTCGGAACATAGCGTTGTTTTAACCAGATAGTAGTTGCCACTTTTTTTATGTGTCATGTGCTCAAAAGCATAAGCTGAAAAGAATGAAACTGGTAAGAGAGATAAAGGTGGATTATATGTGACTTCCAAGATATGATCAGTATAAAGATGTGAATATACTTCTATTTTCTAATTCTGCTTAGATTGATATGTTCAAAGGAAGTGTTTACTGGGACTGTGGCTACGTATACCTGACTTCACAGTATTTTATATCCACTTGTCCTGCCATTTTATCCATTCATCTGCTCCATTGACAACTTACTTAGAAGATCATGAGTGCTGTGCTAGCATCCTAAATGTCTGAGTTAACATAGTCTAACTCATCAAGACTAGTCTGGTTCGAGCATTAAGGGAAGAGAAAGGAAAAAGGATAAAAACATGTAATGAACACCTCCCCTGTGCTGAACACTATTATAGATGTTCGTGTTCTGTTGGGGAATATTGTCCTAACCCTAGAATATTTATTTTTGACATTTCCAAAGTTGGGAATTAGAAATAAAGTTGTAAAGTTTGCCAGCAGTCAGAGTTAAAACTAACATCCCTTGCTTTTTATATCATATAAGTAACTGTAGGTCATTCATTTCTCACTAAAGGTGATAGTCACTAAGTATATAATTTGGAGGATACTATCTGATATTTTATTCCATTGATGATTTAAGGCTGTATTGTCCAGTACAGTAGCCATTAGCCACGTGTCCATTTAAACTTAAATTAAGATTAATTAAAAGTTTAGTTTTTCAGTTAACTAGCCACATTTCACATGCTCAGTCAATTCGTGTGACTATTGGCTTCTGTATTTTCATTTCTGTGATGGAAATGTTAAATTATCTGTATCATCTAATACATCTATTTATTGGCAGTGCTGATTTAAAGCAGTAAAAGTAGCCAGGCATGGAGGTTCACACCCATAACCTTAGCACTCTTGGGGGAACAAGGCAGGAGTATTGTTTGAGGCCAGGAGTTAGAGACCAGCCTGGGCAACATAGCAAGGCACCATCTTGAAAAAACTTAAAAAATTAGCCTGGTGTGGCAACTCAAGCTTGCAGCTAGCTTACTGGGAGTCTAAGGAGGGAGAATCACTTGAGCCCAGGAACTAGAGATTACAGTGAGCTATAATAGTGTCACTGCTCTCCAGCCTGGGCAACAGAATGAGACCCTGTCTCTAAAAACAAATAACATTAACATCCGTTCATGCTTTACTATTTTATATTTCGAAAGTCATTTTTGTTAAAGAAGAGGTATACTTAATAGAGGTGTTCAAGTAAAAGTGATTTGTTACAAAGAATTCATTTGATGATGGGTAAGATGTCTTGATATATAGATAAAAGTGCTTTCATGTTATCCCAGAGGGCCATGTGGGGTGGGTTTTTTTGTTTTGTGGTGATGGTATAGCTTTTATTTTCATATTCATGGAATGGATTAGGTTTACTAGTCTCAGCACATGGCATGTGAAAATAATGGAACATTTAACTATTTGTCTTTCAGTACAACTGGCTTGTTTTGTTAAAATGAGCTCCATTAGTTTATAAGTAAGAAAAGGAGAACTTTAGTGGCATCTGCTTCTGTTAATTTCTAGTTGCCTTTCAGTTATTTTTTTCCCTAAAGGAAAATCAAGTCAATAGTTTCTATAATTGCATTATATTATACCATATTATTGATTATATTACTGATTTTATTAATGGGTTTTTTTTTCTTCAAGGAGGAGTCTTGCTCTGTCACCAGGCTAGAGAGCAGTGGTGCAGTCTCTGCTCACTGCAACCTCCGTCTCCCTGGTTCAAATGATTCTCCTGCCTCAGCCTCCTGAGTAGCTGAGATTACAGGCTCATGCCACCACGCCCGGCTAATTTTTGTATTTTTAGTAGAGATGGGGTTTCACCATCTTGGCAAGGCTGGTATTGAACTCCTGAGCTTGTGATCCTCCCGCCTCAGTCACCCAAAGTGCTAGGATTACAGGTGTGAGCCAGCGTGCCTGGTCTATTAATGAAATATTTTAATGGTCATTTTACTGCTCATGGTCCTGTGCTTTTAGTCTGAAGGTACTGAGTCAAGTCAGAAAACCTAAACACAATTTTTATTACTGATTTTAACTTAGGTACTGTAGCCATCTCTTATCCAGCATCGTGAAAGAGCATAGTATTAATTTTCTTTCTGCTGCTTTTGTTTTAAACCACTTCATCAGAAATAAAGGAAAAGCAGTAAAATTGTGGACAAGCAAGAATACAGAAGAAACATTTTACAAATAATACTTACTATGAGCCTTTCACTAGAGAAATATGGAATTGAAAGAAAGGAGTTTATGAAGTGACTTGGCAAAACACTCTATTTTAGTGATTTTAGACTCACAAAGTTTTTCGAATTATAGCATCTTGAACTCAGGATATATATTACAATTAATTGGAAGTGTGTTACAGTTAACTGGTGAACGTTTTTTCTTTATAAGGAGAACAAAATGATGGTGTCTCTTACAATCAGTTGCATCTGAAGAGTCAGTGAAATTCATGAGTAATTTATTGGATGCTTAAGAATCTCCATTCTCTTTTTTCTCTCTCCTTGTTTCCAGGAATGTAAAAAATTTCATGGTGTATTCATAGGATCAGCTTGTGGTCATCATGGACCTTATATTCCAGATGTGCTCTTTTGGTGTGTCATCTTGTTTTTCACAACATTTTTTCTGTCTTCATTCCTCAAGCAATTTAAGACCAAGCGTTACTTTCCTACCAAGGTAACTGCAATGTAATTTTGGAATTCTGGTATTTATATTTCTAGTTTTTATGTCTTTGGTTTATTTCAAAACGGTAATATGTTTTTTGAGGTTAATACTCTATGCTAACAGTTAATAAAGAAATTATTCATAGTGAAAAATGTATATTACATGCCTGAGCTCACAGTAGAAAGATGATGGTACAATGAGAGTTGCTAGGTTAGTTGTGAAATGTGTTTTTTATCTTTTTGGAAAGAAATACAAATGTGTTTCACTGTTAACATTGCCACTAGTTAAAAGCTCTATTTATACTTCATAGTGACAATTTTATAAATGAAAGATGTGAATTATTTAGAAAGAACCCATAGTATTTCTGTGTTTATATTAACATAATCCCTTTAACATAGGTGCGATCGACAATCAGTGATTTTGCTGTATTTCTCACAATAGTAATAATGGTTATAATTGACTACCTTGTAGGAGTTCCATCTCCTAAACTTCATGTTCCTGAAAAATTTGAGGTAAGGATTAAAACAAGTGTCTGTTTGTTACTTAGTAATATCATACCACTTTAAAGCAAGATAACATTTTCTCACTAGTTACTTTTAAAAATTATGTAGTCTCTTTGAAGAGCTGATGCTTTGAAATAATTTATATGTATTTTTCATATGTATAAACAATGACAATATGGATAGAAAAGAGACATGTGAACTTAAAAGTATCAATGCTGGTCCATTAGAGACAGTGAATGAAAATATTTGTGGTAAGGTATAGGGAGCCATTTAAAAAAACAAAAAGAAAGTGTTTGCTTTCCTATCTGGAGTTCTTGCTGTACCTTCCAGGGAGAAGGAAACACCCTTTGTTCTTTTATAAAGAAGTAACCCAGTCTGGGCGCAGTGGCTCACACCTGTTATCCTAGCACTTTGGGAGGCCAAGCCAGGCGGATCACTAGAGGTCAGGAGTTCAAGACCAGCCTGGCCAACATAGTGAAACCCTGTCTCTACTAAAAATGCAAAAATTAGCCAGATGTGGTGGCCTGTGCGTGTAATCCCAGCTACTCAGGAGGCTGAAGCAGGAGAATCACTTGAACCCGGGAGGCAGAGGTTGCAGTGAGCCGAGATCGTGCCATTGCACTCCAGCCTGGGCAACAAGAGCAAAACTCTTTGTCTCCAAAANAAAAAAAAAAAAAAAAAAAAAAAAAAAAAAAAAAAAAAAAAGTAACCTAGAGTTGAATTTTCTAAGAGTGGCATGGAGGCTCTAGTTACATTTCTAGAAGGGTAATATATCTGACAGTAGTTGGAAAGCTCCATGTAACAATCTCCAGCAGCATCAGGAGAAAAAAAAAAAATGTGTTCTATGAGAAAAATGCTATTTGATCTGAGCATCCATTTGAATTTTGTGCCTTCATTAGCAACTTTGCATATATTCATTTTCCTTTTGCTGTTTTTGTTTTCTCCCATCCTCCTTTGCTTATGCTAGAAGGAAAGATACATTTTAAGTAGTGTCACTGGTTATATTTAATTCAACAAGTTAGATGACTTCTTTCAGAAGCAGCTCTTTTAAAGGGGATCAGAAATAAGGAATATAATGATCATTTTATTTTCTATTATAAATGATTATATTATATATTATTTTATAATATTGCACTGAGATCAAAAAATGTTATTTTTAAAACCAGTAGTTTTTAAAGTAGGAAACATGGGTGGAAAATAATTTGCCAACAATTTTTAGAAAGTCTGTATTTTTAACATAAAAATATGAAAATATTAAACTTTAAGTTTTATGAGACTATATAAATAAATGAAACTACAAATGAATATTGGTTCAAAACTTGATATAATTTCCTGTAATCCTGGCCTAAGTTCCTTATTCTGGTTCTTAAATATGTCCTTGTTATTCATTTATTGATATGCCTTTCAGGTAATAGGCTGGTTTCAAGAGGCATAAAATATACTTGTGGAAACAAATCAAGGAACTCTTAAGAGGAAATGGCAGGCCGGGCGTGGTGGCTCACACCTACAATCCCAGCACTTTGGGAAGTCTAGGCGGGTGGATCACCTGAGGTCAGGAGTTCGAGACCAGCTTGACCAACATGGAGAAACCCCATCTCTACTAAAAATACCAAAAAAAATTAGCCAGTTATGGTGGCGCATGCCGGTAGTCCCAGCTACTTGGGAGGCTGAGGCAGGAGAATCAGTTTAACCCTGGAGGCGGAGGTTGTGATGAGCTGAGATTTTGCCATTGCACTCCAGTCTGGGCAACAAGACTGAAACTCGCTCTCAACAACAACAAAAAAGGAAATGGCATTGTATAAGCAGGATAAAATATTTTTATTCATATACTGTATTGAGTATGAGGTAGTTTCATATATGTCAGTGTGGGAAGATTGAATTACCTGAACTTTGAAGGTATTAAATTTCCCTTTTGTATTGGCAAATGTTTTCCTGAAGAAGAAACAAGCTTAATACCAAGTCGAGATAATAAACACATATGTTTAGGTTTCAATATATTCACTCCCAAACATAGTAAACTCTCTTGATCTTTTAAAAAATTTTTGCTATCAAATAAATCTTATATTGTACCATAAAAATGTTTTAGTATCTTATAAAATGTCCTGTTTTTATAGTTAGTAGTTGCTTTGGAAATATCATGTATTGAGGGCTAGTTCTGATTTAGTGCTGACCCTTTCAAAATCACTTAGTCTGCAAGACCTATAAAGCAGTTTAGTTTAGAAATTTAGTAGATAGATTGATTTCACCTTATATGAATTATGCAGGAACATGTTGAAATGACATTCCAGTTTGCTTATCAATTTCTACATAACAAACTTTTGAATAACAGCCATTTATTTGTTTATAATTCTATGGCAGTTGGGAGTAGGCTTAGCTGGTTAGTGGTCTGCTGTATGGGCTGCAGTCATCTAGTGGCTTAATGGAGCAATATGCTTTTGTTGGCATGTCTGAGGCCTCAGCTCAGACGGTTTAAACAGCTGGGATAGTTGCCTGGGGAACTGTACCACACATGGCGGCCTTCCCACTGCAGCCTCCCTCCTGCCCCTGCCCTCACATACTCACTACCATATAGACTGTATTGAGGATAGTCTTATCCTCAAGAATGCTTATCTAGACTTACTCGAAAGCATAATTATTCCAGTGTTGAAAGCGAGTTAGAGAAGAAGCTGCAAGGTCCATTAAGGTTAATACTTAGAATTCACACAGTGTCACTTTGGCCTTATTCTGTGGGTTAAAGTAAATCACAGGATCATCTTGGTTTCAAGGGGGAAGGAAGCAGGTGCCACCTCTAGGCGGAAAGATTGAGTCACATGACAGGGGGTCTACTTGCAGGGATAGGAAGAATTCCTGTAGCCATCTTTGAAAATACACCATGTATCCCAAGATTTAATTCAGTTGTTTTCTATTTCTTGGTATTTCTTGGAACAGATCAAGTTTGTGCTTTAGAAATTTAGTACAATACAGGAAGGAGACTTTTTAAAAATTATTTTTAATTTTTTAACAGCCTACTCATCCAGACAGAGGGTGGATCATAAACCCACTGGGAGATAATCCTTGGTGGACCTTATTAATAGCTGCTATTCCTGCTCTGCTTTGTACTATTCTCATCTTTATGGATCAACAAATCACAGCTGTAATTATAAACAGAAAGGAGCACAAATTAAAGGTAATTTTAGAATTTTGCCTTAAGCATTGCGATTCTTCAAGGGTTTGAGGTGTTTTCATAATGATTACAACATTAAAAGGTGCAAGATGAAAATGAGCTTCTTCCCTCTTTATAATGAGTGTAGAATTTTAAATTGAGAGAACAGTTTAGACTTTCAGATATTTATGTTCATTTCACTTTGCAGAAAGGAGCTGGCTATCACCTTGATTTGCTCATGGTTGGTGTTATGTTGGGAGTTTGTTCTGTCATGGGACTTCCATGGTTTGTGGCTGCAACAGTGTTGTCAATAAGTCATGTCAACAGCCTAAAAGTCGAGTCTGAATGTTCTGCTCCAGGGGAACAACCCAAGTTTTTGGGAATTCGTGAACAGCGAGTTACAGGATTAGTGATTTTTATTCTAATGGGCCTCTCCGTGTTCATGACTTCAGTCCTAAAGGTAAAATCTCTTTATTGCAGTGTTTTAAAATCTTACTATAACGTTTATACTTAGTTATGTGAAAATGAAACATTAAAATATACTTAAAATATCTAAAATTAGATTTGTTTTTTACAGTTTACTTGGAAAATAATGTCATTAGGTTTTTAGTATAGCAAGCATTTCAGTGGTACACTGTATCTATTTTTAAAATAATGTATGCCAGGTGCAGTGGCTCACACCTATAATCCCAGCACTTTAAGAGGATTGCTTGAGGCCAGGTGTTCAAGACCAGTCTGGGCAACATAGTGAGACCTGGTCTCTACAAAAATAAAAATAATTAGCCAGGTGTGGTGGCATGCTCCTGTGGTCTGAGCTACTCAGGAGGCTGAGATGGAAGGATTGCTTGAACCTGGGAGGTCAAAGCTGCAGTGAGCTGTGATTGGGCCACTGCACTCCAACCTGGGTGACAAAGTGAGATAGATTCTGTCTCTAAAAACAAAAAAAGTCATAATATGGCAAATATCAATATGTATAAAACACTCATAAACAAAAGTATTTGTGGGGGAGGGGAAATGACCTCAGTAATTTTTAAGAATATAAAGGGATCTTGAAACCACAGAGTTTGAGAGCTTCTGACCTAAGGTTGTGGTGTCTTTTCACCTATGACTCCATCCTCATTCCCCCTTCTAACATATCCCTCTTGTTGGTTTCTACTTTTTAGTACTATTATAAAAGTTGTTATTAACATTTACATTTTGTGCTATGACGATAACTAAGCCTTCCTTGCTTCTCCTGTAAGTTAGATTATAGAAATTTAAACCCTCTGGGGACACATAAATGGTGTTACGATGATATTTGCTGAGGACTAAGCAGTGTGATTTGCCTGCAGGGAGGCAGAAATATACACTGTTTTATTCCAGCCCAAGCCTCAAGACCAAATAAGTTTTTCTAATATCTGTTACCTTCCCTTACTGCAAAAAATTATATGTGCAGGTTCCCCTTTTTCTTGTATTCATTTTTTGTATTGATAAATTATTTTTACGCATGGTACCATGAATGGTGAACTTGTTCAGAGTTCTTTTTTTAACTTCCAGTTTTGTGAAATCTCATTCAGATATTAAGGGAGGCAGGTAGGCAGGGGCTTTTCATTTACCGTGCTCAGTCAGTATCCTCAAGAAACTTGTGCCTTCTGTCTGCTGTGGGAATTTTCTTGCCCTCTTTACTTCCTCTTCTCTTCTACTGACTCTTGTTACAAATTTCTTCAACTCCAACTAAACAGATCTCAGACCTTCTGAAATGTTATCCTTCTTACCCCTTGCTATTAAAGAAAATTTCCCCTTTTTTTCATATCTTTATATGGGTGGGTGTTCAGTCCATCAAAATTGTTACTAAAAAATTTTAGTTAATTTGATATTTATAGATTTAATTTTCAGGAGCTTTTTCCATTCTTATTTCTTTTTCCTAGCATTCTTTTTTCTTTTTGAGACAGAGTTTTACTCCAACACACAGGTTGGAGGGCAGTGGCGTGATCTCAGCTCACTGCAACCTCTGCCTCCTGGGTTCAAATGACACTTGTACCTCAACCTCCCAAGTAGCTGGGACTACAGGCACGTGCCACCATGCCCAGTTAATTTCTGTATTTTTGGTAGAGATGAGGGTTTCATCATATTGGCCAGGTTGGTCGAGAACTTTTAGCCACAGTGATCCACCCGCCTCGGCCTCCCAGAGTTCTGGGATTGCAGGCATTGCTTAGATTTTTAAAAATATGTTTTCTTCATAAATTGTTTCTTTTTTTCCAGTGTCCTTAGAAAGATATGCTAGGTTGTTCAGAAGAGGTGTAGTAGATGTGGTTTTCCTCTGTAGTGTTTTAATTCATTTTTCCTTGTAGGACTCTTCCTTAGGTCAGAGTGCTGTTTGTGGTTTTTGAGTAAACAGATGGGCTCTGTTAATAGCCAGACTTTCTTGTAGGATGAATATGTGTGAACCACGTAGGCAGTTTGGGATTGTCATAACTGCGAAAGTAGTAAGGACTTTATTTTGGAGGTGGATTTTAATTATATTCAGTAAAGGCTACTGTATAATATTCACTGCAGAGGTAGTGATGGCAATGATAATGGGTAACATTTTTTGTGTGGTTAATATGTATCAGGTGCTTTTTGGAGCATTTTATGTATTCGAAGTCACTGAATCTTCACAGCAATCTGATACAGAAACTGGGGTGCAGAAAGGTTAAGTTTTGACTTAAAACTAAGTCTGACTGCAGTACCCCTGCTCTTAAGTAAACATACTCCCATTTTAGGAAGCAATATGTAGAAGATGAGCAACTTTTCAAGGATGTTATTGTATACTAGCAATTTTCTTATGTGTGGGAATGTTAGGTAGGTTTAATCCTCATGATTGCAGGATCTTTTAATTCTAGCCCCATAATTACTCACTGATTATGTTTTTGTGTACTTATTACTCATGAGTTCTAATTGTGGTCATTTTACTTACAGTTTATTCCAATGCCTGTTCTGTATGGTGTTTTCCTTTATATGGGAGTTTCCTCATTAAAAGGAATCCAGGCAAGTTTTAAATATTGAATGATTTTCTATAGAAACTTGATATTTTTAGTATGCAAAGATTGTTTTTATGATAGTAGTGATTTATTCTCAACTCTGACATTTTGGGGGGAGGTTAGTTTTCTAACTGATGATTTCAGATGACATTTGTCAAGTAATTACTTACTGCACGTTTTTTCCTCCAGAAAGTGAGATCATGAGCTGACATGGTCCTTACCTGTTTTTAATTGAAGACAATGAAAAGCCCTATAACTCAATCAAGACTAGTATAGTGAGAGGGAGGATCAAAAGGATTGGATTAGAAAAAAGGTTTGGTACTTAAAAAGGTAGATATTAGTTTCCTATAAAAATAGCCAGACCTGCCATTTGTGTAACACAATACAGCTTATAAAGCCTAGCATATACATCATTTTGTAATCCTCAATACACTAACCATTTGGCAGAGAGGAAAGGAAGAAATCCTAATGTAAATCAGGAAACAGAAATAGAAGGACATACTGAAGATTATTAGCTAAGCCAGTGATTTCATTATTTTGTTTTAATAGTTAGTGGGAAGCAACCTAATAAAACTTCTTAAGGTTTGTAGTGATCTAATTTTAGTATAAAACATTTGGGGTGGCTGTGGTGACTCATGTCTGTAATCCCAGCACACTGGAAGTCTGAGTCAGGAGTATCACCTGAGGCCAGGAGTTTGAGACCAGCCTGGACAACACAGTGAAATCCTGCCTCTACAAAATATGTAAAAATTAGCTGGCTGTGGTGGTGTGTACCTGTAGTGCTGGCTGCTCAGGAGGCAGAGGTGGGAGGATTGCTTGAGCCCAGGAGTTTGAGGCTACTGTGAGCTGTGGTCATGCCAGTCACTGCATTCCAGCCTGGATTACACAGTGTGACCCTATCTCAAAAAAAACAAAAAACCAAAAACCCAAACAGATCATAAAGCACAGTTAGCACTACATGACCACCTCTTCTCATGGAAAGGATGTTGTCTAAAGTTTCCAGCTCATAGGCTAGTGGGAGGAAAGCATCTTTATTATTTCAGCATCATCCAGAATCTACTCTTCATTGGTCAAGAAATTATTTCCTTATCTCACTTGCTTTTTAAGAGTTTTGTGAGACGATTAGGGCTGATCTTACTCCCAATGTGTAAATGAAGAAATTAAAGCTCAAAAAGATAGGCATTGGCTCAGTTTTATTTTCAGTATCAGTTTATCTAGATATTTTAATCCTCTGAATTAAACATTTTGGATTGAGTTTCCTGATTACATTAATTACAGCAGTTCAAGTGGTTGCTTGGTTCCCGCCCTGCCCACCCTCCTGGATCCAGAGAATCCTTGCTGTAACATTCTCCAGTATTATCAGAAGATGTCAAGGAACTTACAGTTTAATACACAAAACTCTAAAGTTGAGTATAAATTCTTCTAAGGAGCAGAAATATTTTATTGAAATCTTCTTTGTTCGTTTTTTATTCTATTCATAGTTTTTTGACCGTATAAAATTATTTGGAATGCCTGCTAAGCATCAGCCTGATTTGATATACCTCCGTTATGTGCCTCTCTGGAAGGTCCATATTTTCACAGTCATTCAGCTTACTTGTTTGGTCCTTTTATGGGTGATAAAAGTTTCAGCTGCTGCAGTGGTTTTTCCCATGATGGTAAGATTTCTTCAGACTTATTTTGTCACTAATTAATAAAATTTTGTTTATTTTTATAATAATTTTCTTATTTATAATTGACTTTGAGAAAAGGAATAATGCATTTTAAGTTCTTTAGGTGTTTGAAAATGTGGATTAGCTGTTTCTAGATATAAACCAGTTGTTTCTCAGTCTGAATTATTTTATTTTGTAAATTTTCATTTGTTATGCTTTTTTAGTCCTTAGGCTACAGGACTCAATTTTGTATTTTTAAACAACTTCAGAATTTAGGACATTCATGGAACAAATACATTTTCAAATGTAAAAGCAAAGCAACCAAAACAGCATTGTTCATTATTAAAATATTTCAATACATCTTTTCTAGAACTTGACAGATCTAGAAGTCAAAAGTAATGAAGATACTATATGAGTAGTATATACTATATGTGTAGTATATTCTTGTCAAAAGTATCAAACTGTACACATGATATTTTTCAGTTTTACTGTATGTAAATTACATATTCATTAGAAGTAGAGACATAACTACTAGAGAATAACAAGATAATGATAATTAAGAAGGAGTCCTGGCTAGGAGTGGGGGCGGCAGGGTCTTTGCCATCTACTTCACTGTTCATGTGTTGATACTGTACTGTTCTGATAACCAAAAATTTAAAAATTGCTGACAAGTCAGTATAGCCACCATAAAATGGAATTGGCATATGAATAGACAAATAAAAAAAATAGACAAAAGGGTCCAGAAGTTTATCTGAATATATTGTGAATTATCACTTGAATACGGTAAGTAGGTTATTTCATTAAAGGTAGTATTTCTTTTGTATGGAAGAATTTAGTATTGGACGATTTAACTGTATACTGGAAGCTAAGTAATGTTGTAATCCTTATCTGAGACCATGTTCAGAAATCATAATTGAATTCAGTATTTAAATGGTAAATAAATTGTAGTAGAAAATGTAAAAGAGTATTGTATAATCCATTGATTGGGGCTAACTTTTCTAAGAAGATATGAAAATCCAAATGTAAAAGGAAGATATGCTGTATTTCACCACATGATCATTAAATGTTTCTTATATGTTCAAAAAGTATAAAAAGTAAAATCAGACTGTGAACTGGGAGAAAATATTTGTAACATATAAGGCAGATAAAGGATTTCTATTCAAGCTACACAGAACTCACAAATTCGTAAACAAAAGTCATAAAAACCAACAAAAAAACAGGCAAAGGTTAGAAAATAGCAAGTACAGAAGTGGAAATCTCACTGGCCAATCAGCATTCAAAAACATGCTAATCTTCAGCAGCAGTTAAAGCAAATTAAAGTAGTATTTCATTTCTCCCATATGATTGAAAAGTTAACACCTAATGTTGGGAATAGGTACTCTAATGCGTTGCTCAAGAGATTTTTTAAAATTATATATACTTATGTAATATATAAAGTCTTAAAAATTATTTTTTTTTGCTTTGATATTCAGTGTTTAACCTGCTTCATAATTTTATACAGAGCGTAAGGCTTTATGTAGGAGAAGGCTAAGAATGCTATTTCCTTTCTTCCTCTATTTATAGCTTTTTTTTTTTTAGCAGAAAGTTCAGAAAGATAAATAATTGACTCAATTCCTTTGGAACAAAATAATTGTGAATAATTTAAAAACTATATGAAGCATTTTTTATAACAAGTTTTAATAAATATGCTTTTCCTCTTTAAGTGATACAGTTTATATTATATGTCACTTACTATTTTCTTCCCCACTTTTTAAAGGTTCTTGCGTTAGTGTTTGTACGCAAGCTCATGGACCTGTGTTTCACGAAGAGAGAACTTAGTTGGCTTGATGATCTCATGCCAGAAAGTAAGAAAAAGAAAGAGGATGACAAAAAGAAAAAAGAGAAAGAGGTAAAAAGACGAGAATTTTAAACTTACACCACTTTCTTATTTAATATTTTGTTCCATATTGCAGGCACCATTATAATCACTTTACATGAATCAGTTCCTTTCATCCTTCTAAGAACCTTATAAACTGTAGTAGGCACTGTTATTATCTCTATTTTACAAATGGGGAAACTGAGGCAGAGAGTGGTTAGGTAACTGTTCCAAATGTAGGCCCTTAACCATTTCACTATCTTGTACCTCCATAGTTCTAACACAGGAATACTTTTCAAAAATTACATAACACGTGCTTACTTAATCAGCAATCAGAAGAATTAGAGCTTTTAGCAATATTGAAATATAGGTAACAAAATAGTTGTACATCAGAATATAGTATCTGAGTAAACTTTAAATACATTTAACATAAATTTTAGCATATATTTAATTTTAATAGCTTAATAATTGGCCTACATAATGACAAAAAAGGATTTTTAAGTAATTATCTTTTTTAAAAAGTAATAAAACTTTAGTCTTTATATGCACTTATTATGTACCACAATTAGTTAATTTGTATGCTGCAATTTAAACATAAATCCTTTATTCTGAATTGGAATTTGATTTTTAATGACCAACTTGATACTATCAGTTAATAAGAAGGAAAAGTAGAGACTTGAGTACATAGATGGATGGTTTTGTTGTAGTCCTTGCTCTATTTTCCCATTCAGTGTATTGTTTGAAAATCAAAGATAAGGAAAAAGTTACATATTTTTAAATGTTATGGTTCTGTTTAGAGATTAAAATTTTATTGGTTTTATGTTTATTTTTCAACAAAAATCGAAATTCTTTAATTAGACACTAATTAGAATTTTAATTTGAATTAAGACACCAGAGTTTTAAAATTAAAATTTTGGTTTTCTTCAGCGTTATTTATGTAAATATGTATGAGGTGTTTTGTTTTGTTTCTTTTGAGATGGAGTCTTGCTCTGTGGCCCAGGCTAGAGTGCGGTGGCATGATCTCAGCTCACTGCAACCACCTCCCGGGTTCAAGCAGTTCTCTCTGCCTCAGCCTGGGATTACAGTAGCTGGGATTACAGGCGCCTACCACCAAGCCGGGCTAATTTTTGTATTTTTAGTAGAGACAGGGTTTTATGTTAGCCAAGCTGGTCTTTAACTACTGACCTTGGGTGATCTGCCCGCCTTAGCCTCCCAAAGTGCTGGGATTATAGATGTGAGCCACTGTGCCAGGCCTGAGTTTTTGGTGATTTTTCAAATAGGATATATTTTATCTCTAAAATACATGGGCCAAATTGCCTGTTTATTACTTTCTATATTAGTTAGAATAAGGTTCAGTGGTATATAACAAAAAACAAAAGTAAAAGTGGCTTTTAAACACAAAGTGATTGCGTTTCAAGTAAAAGAATTCTTGAAAGCAAGTGATGCAGTGTTAAGCTCCGCTTATCAGGGGCTACTTGTTACTTTTTTCCTGACCTCAGCATATAGTTTTCCATCCTCACTTTCACTTCATGAGTCAAAATGGCTGTTAAACTCCAGCCGTCATGTTAGTATTAGAGACAGCAGGAAAAAGGAAGGGATAGAAGGCAAAATCGTTTTACCGTATTGTCAGGTTTAAGGAGTCTTTTTAGAATGTCATCCAGTAAGTTCTGCTTGCACTTCATGATCCTACTAAGTTGCAAGGAATGCTGGGAGATTTCATTTCGGTTTTTTTTTTGTTGTTGTTGTTGTTGTTTTTACAGTCTGGGCACATTGGCACCTCAAAATAGTCAAATTTCTATTAGTAAGGAAAAGAAATAGGAATGTTCTCTCAGTGTCTCCTCTACTTCCCTATCTATCACCCCCAATATTAACATCCTAATTTTGTTCTGTGTCCACTTTCCAAGTGGGTCTCAATGTGGGCTTGAGCCTCAGTGTTAACCAGCCATAGTGGTCTGCGTTGCTGGGTTCTGTAAATATTTGCTAAATGATTTAAGATACTGCCTTCATTGATGTACTTCTAAAAAGAGAATCGGAACTGCCATGATGGTTATTAGTAATTATCACCAGGGTGGGCTGGGGGGAATTAAGCAACAAATACTCTCAGCAAATTGGTGTGTGAGTATTTGACTGAGACATTGCCAAGAGTATTTCAACGTCTGAGATATTTTTGATTGCCATAACTGGAGGGACTGCTACTGGCAACTAATAAGTAGAATTCTGAGGTGCCGTGAAATACTCTATATACATAGGACTTCTACAAAAGATAAATATTATAACCTAAATGTCAGTATTGCTGAGGTTGAAAATCCCTGCCTTATCCAAATGACCTTCTGCTCATACTGTATTGTGATAAGGTTTCACAGAATGTTATCTTTCATTATAAACCTACATAACTGATAATCACATTTATGTAGTTGATTTTTAAATAGTATAAGTGATTTACATAAACAAATGAAAGTTGCTGGGCGTGGTATAATCCCAGCATTTTGGGAGGCAGAAGCGGATGGATTACGAGGTCAGGAGTTGGAGACCAGCCTGATCAACATGGTGAAACCCCGTCTCTACTAAAAAGAAAAAGAGAAAAAATTAGCTGGCGTGGTGGTGCTCACCTATAATCCCAGCTACTCAGGAGCCTTGAGGCAGGAAAATCGCTTGAACCCGGCAGGTGGAGATTGTGCCACTGCACTCCAGCCTGGGTGACAGAACGAGACTACATCTCAAAAAAAAAAAAAAGAAAAGAAAAGAAATGTTACTACTATACCATTTTTAAATTAGTCATGATGTTAAATTAAACAAGTGGTTGTTCTTATTTTATGTTACAAGTATGTGTTCATGATTATAAAATGAATTTTTCAGTAATGGCAGATATGTTATATTTAAATAATATTGTCAATTTGGGTTTCTAAGTCTTTAAGTCATATATTAACTGATTCTCTTGGAAAAATATTCTGGGAAAAGTAATCTCTTCACACATGTGTTTTAAAGGAAGCTGAGCGGATGCTTCAAGATGATGATGATACTGTGCACCTTCCATTTGAAGGGGGAAGTCTCTTGCAAATTCCAGTCAAAGCCCTAAAATATAGGTGAGATACAACTTTATTTTCTAAAGCTTCTATGTAAATGTCAAGGACCTTAATAAGCCATAGAATGCTTCTTTTAAAGTGGTGATTTCTATTTTATAAAAGATAATAAAATTTGCATATGGTGTATCAACTAAATGAGAGATTCACGCAAGGAAGTCCCTTGCACCTTTCCCACCAAAGCTGAACTCGAACCAGAGCCTTAAACTAACGTCCATGCCAAGCCAATAAAATTTGCTTGTCTTCTATCACTCCATCTATCTTAGTGAAGTTTAAAATCAATACGTGAGTCTGAGAATATTTCTATTTTCACGGTAGTATAGCTTTTTTCTTTATGCCCTTTATTAGGGCGGGGGTCAGTGGGTGCTAGAAAATAAACATTTTCAGTAATCTATGTCAGTGTCTATTCAGATACCAGTAATTCATTTTCTGATAGCTTTCCAATGTATCAGTATGTTTAGAAGCCCTAGAAGACTCTTAGTTTTCAAAGATGTGATTTGATCATTGGTATTGAAGGCTCATAAGATGTAAGAATTAATTAATGTTTTATGTGTAATATATCATGTGTGATTTTGGTGATTTATATTTAAATTTAAGAACTAAAGATACAGAGGTTGAGAAATGTAAACTTTTATAGTTATAAAAGATTATAAAAAAGATTAACAACTTATATTTGTGTACACACCTGATTCCTATTTCTACACATTTCTATTTCATTTCTGATTAGCTGGCAAAATCGGTCTTAGAATATATACAGGTTTCTTACCTGACCAGTTGATAGAAAATGTTTTATTGGTATTTAATTTTTTTCCTTTTTTTTTTTTTTTTTTTTTTTTTTTTTTTTTTTTTTTTTTTTTGTTTTTTTTTTGTTTTATTTTTTAGCTATTTATAGCTTTTACAGGGTAACATTTGATTTGTACATGTTGATTAGTTGTGATGAATGAATTCAACTAATCTTCCTCTATGCATATTAGCTTCATTGATGTACTTCTAAAAAGAGTATAAGAACTACCATGATGGTTATTAGCAATTATCACCAATTGGCTGAGAGTATTTGCTGCTTAATTTCAATGTCCTGCTTTATCACTTTTTCAGTGTAGTTATATAGGGACCTTGACAAATTTAAGTGGAGTCTATTGTCATATATTTAAGAAAAAGATGGATATCGACAGTTCTCCTTTTGTCTTTTAAATGGTAACACGAGCCATGATTAATGTGGATATGTTTAAAATTTTTAACATCAGAAATGCCAGGAAATGGCTAATGTGTTTACTTGCCAGAATTTTATATCTTAAATAGGTTTGGATTACTTGTGCGGCAGATCAAATGAGACAGTATATGAAAGCATTTGGAAACTGTAAAGCCCTTATAAAAGATGAAAATAATTTATGTAATACAGGCAAAGGTTTTCCCATCTAATTTCATTTTGAGGGAAAACAAAATACATACTTTCTTCATAGTAAAGGATATTTAGAAGCTAGAAAGTTTATCAGAAATACCTTTCTTCACTTATTTGAAGTTGGCAACCAAGTGAATAAACGTTACTCAGGGTAGGCATCGTTTCAAGTTGGATGGCTATGCCATTGTAAACTTGGGCATTCAGACTTTGTGTACTTTTAAAAATCTGACCTTGCGAAGGTAAAGCAGCCATTCATAGAGACTTTTCAGTGACCACATCACCCTTCTCTGCAGTCTTAAATTTGTAAATAATTTGATTTTTAGTATGAACAGAGCTGTCACTTCCTAAATGACTGTTGTTTAGTCATTTGTAAACTAGTTGCCATCACATTGTTAACATTGCCTAATTTGACATTTGTATTTGTACCTTGTTTGTCTGAATGTATTTTTTTAATCAAAGAAAAAGGACTTGCAAATGTATTTGTATTAACTTTATGATACTTTCCTATTACTTGTGATAGACAACCTTGAGCCCCAAATTAATTATTTATGGATAGTATTATTAGATTTGGGGTCTTGAAGTAATTTTGATCAAAAGATTTCACAGAAACAGAAACATTTGTCTCACTATAGTAAATGGATAGTAGTCTGTTCTTTCTGTTGTTGTTGTTTTTATTATTATTCTCGAGATGGAGTCTTGTTCTGTTGCCTAGGCTGGAGTGCAATGGCGTGGCCTCGGCTCACTGCGACCACCGCCTCTCGGGTTTAAGTGATTCTCCTGCCTCAACCTCCCAAGTAGCTGGCATTACAGGCGGGTGCCACCATTCTTTGCTAACTTTTGTATTTTTAGTAGAGATGGGGTTTCACCATGTTGGACACGCTGGTCTTGAACTCCTGACCTCATGATCCATCCGCCTTGGCCTCCCAATGTGCTGGGTAGGATTACAGGCGTGACCACCGTGCCTGGCCTACTCTGTTCTTTTAATCTTGATAAACTTGATAAAATACCACTTTTATCACATTAAATATGATAAAAGTGGTATTTATGAGGCTACTTTGTGTTAGCTGTTGAAATATTTTCAGTGCTTTGTTTTCAATTTCAGAGCGTTATCTTTCCAAGCATTCTTTATAATGATTTGTAAAAGCTATGAAAAAATAAGATTTTTAAAAATCATAATCTTAAGTTTTCCTTATAAACTTTGGGTATTGAGATTAAATGTGTGCCAATTGTACGTTTTCTAGTTGATTTGAGACTGTATTTTTTTTGTATGCATAAGGACATTAACATAGTCTTATATTATTTCAGTAGCATATTTCCAGCCAAGATGATCAGAGGGTATCATTGTTAGAGCGCTGTGAAGTAGTACTGAAACCCCAGATTGGATTCTGCAGCAAAGTTCCATAAATAAGTCTTGCTAACTTAGTTAATCTTACTCATAGTTTCTATTCGAAAGATGTAATTCTTCTTAGGACTTCTTAACAGAACTCAAATTCTGGTATCTTGCGAGACCTTTAAGTGCATGGCAAAGGTTTTCTCAATTTTTAGTTGATGAAAGCAGATAGTAAGAATGACAATATTAATACTTTTGCAAGTACTGAATACTAACCAAAAAGTGTATTTGTTCTTCAGTGTTGATCCCTCAGTTGTTAATATATCAGATGAAATGGCCAAAACTGCACAGTGGAAGGCACTTTCCATGAATACTGAGAATGCCAAAGTAACCAGATCTAACATGAGGTAGTTATAACTATTTATGTGTTTTCTAACTGTAACCAACTTTTGTTTACTTACGGAGAGCTTCATTCCTTCTTCCTTTCGTCCATCATTTTAATGTATAATGGAGTAAGGTATAAATAATGATTATGTTTTGTTTTTGTTTTTTAATTTATAGTTACCTATTTAAAAAAACAATTTGAGCCAGCGGCAGTGGCTGACACCTGCAGTCCCAGCACTTTGGGAGGCTGAGGTGGGCAGATCACCTGAGGTGACACCTGGGGGACAAGAGCGAAACTCTGTCTAAAATAATAATAATTTGAGCTATTTTATAATAAAAATAAATTTCATATGGCAGTATGGAGTAAACATGTAAAAGATCACAAACCATATAAAGATAGATAACTATTAGGGATGACATACTGTCTATTAGGGATTAATTGAATACTACCTCAATTATGCTTTCTGATGGTCCAAGAAAAGAGAAAAAACACAGTTGTTTTCCTTCTTTCGTTTTGGTTTAGTATACCATTTCTTCAGGTCAGGTAAACATTTTGCTTGGAGATAGAAATAGAATCCATTGACTTAGGCCATTCAGTTTTACAGTGGACCATATATTGAATGTATTATGTAACCTCTTTCTTACATTTCTTGTTATGTAACCCTTTTTCTTTCTTTTGTCCTCACTTCAAGAACTAAACCCTCAGGGATTCTGTTTTGGTAATCATTAGTATTTTAATCTCTTAAGCCTCTAGAGAAATGAGTTACCAACTTGTGGGGTGCTCAGTCATTCATATTCAACAATTACTTTTTATGTACAGTTTGTGTGAGATGCTATGTTGGGTGTCTGTGTATTCTGCTTGGGCATGAGATGAAAACTTTTCTAGGCATTCAGTCACGTAGTTATTTTTGTTCACTTGCTGTCTTAGCTCTGTCTTCTCATAATAATTGATTAGCTTTTTCTCATTCTTTCCCTACCCTCTTTTAGAACCTATTTCCTACTTACTCTCTGTCATATGTTTTCCTCTTCTGTCATCTGAGTTCTAATTTCTCAGCTGGCTGTTTCCTTTCTTCGGTCTTTAATCTTAAAAAGTTTTAAAGTTAAATTCTTTGTAATTTTGGATCATTCAGTACAGCCAGAATTTTTCTAAATATTCTTTTTACTGTTAGTAATTGTTCGCATTGTGTCAGCACCCCTGACCCTGTTAGTATAATTATCATAAAAAAAATGAAGTCCTTACAATAATAACTAACATCTCTTATACTTCTGCCTTTTGTTTGGGTCGCCCCGCACTTCAAAATCACATAGGAAGAAAGAGAATGCCTTGGCTTTGTGGTTTAACAGGAAGATGTTTTGGGGGGGTGGGTCTTTCCTTCAGTTTGTCTGGAGAAGACAGCAAACCATAGTGTGTTTTTACACTTTATGAAAACTTTTTCTAGAACTTAGGTATTAAATGTTACAGTTAATCAATTAAATTTATGTACCTGGAGTCATCGTGTCATACTAACTTAAAAATATAGAATAGGTGGGCCAGGTGCGGTAGCTCAGGCCTCTAATCCCAGCACTTTAGGAGGCTGAGGTGGTCAGATCACTTGAGGTCAGGGGTTCAAGACCAGCCTGACCAACATGGTGAAACCCCCGTCTCTACTAAAATTACAAAAATTAGCCGGGCGTGGTGGCGTATGCCTGTAATCCCAGCTACTCAGGAGGCTGAGGCAGGAGAATCGCTTGAACCTGGGAGGCAGAGGTTGCAATGTGCTGAGATCACGCCGTTGCATTCCAGCCTGGGCAACAAGAGTGAAACTCTCTCAAAAAAACGTGTGTGTGTGTGTGTGTGTGTGTGTGTGTGTGTGTGTATACACACGCACATATATATATATACACACACACATAGGGTGTGTGTATATACATACATATGGAATATATATATATATATGGAATAGGTATATTGGTTTTGTATTTATGAACCAAATTTGGGGTGAGAAGTTTTGTAAATTTGTAACCTTTTTGGAAGTTATTTGATACTTATCTATATTAACAGATTTATTTACTTTTTTTTTGAGGCAGAGTTTTGCTCTTGAGTGCAATGGCTTGATCTTGGCTCACTGCAGTTTCCACTTCCTAGGTTCAAGTGATTCTCCTGCCTTAGCCTCCTGAGTAGATGGGATTACAGGCTTGCGCCACCATGCCCGGCTACTTTTTGTATTTTGAGTGGAGTCGGGGTTTCACCATGTTAGTCAGGCTGGTCTTGAACTCTTGACCTTGTGATCCGCCCGCCTGAGCCTCCCAAAGTGTTAGGATTACAGGTGTAAGCCACCATGCACAGCCCAACAAAGATTTATATATTAATAAGATTTTTCAGTAAAATAAAAGTCACATGCTATGTAACTGATCATATATGAAATAAAAGTAATCCAATAGATTCTGACCATATAGTGCCCTATTTTTAGGACCCCCTCTTTAGTTGTAAGGAAAACATGAATTTTAATTGAAAATATATGCAGTTTTTAAAAGCAGAATTTTTAATATTTGCCTTTCCATTTAGGCTTAATGATTTAAAAAAAGGTAAAATTATATTAGTAAGTAATAAGTTTGTATTGTTAATAGTAATCTGAGAAGGTTTAATATACTCATTGTTATCCATGTTTAGAATTGAATATTTATGTTTAAAAATTATTTACTCTCATTCTTTGTTTTAAATAGTCCTGATAAACCAGTGAGTGTGAAAATAAGTTTTGAAGATGAACCAAGAAAGAAATACGTGGATGCTGAAACTTCATTATAGAATTGAACCAAGAGGCATTATACATATAGATATATACTTATGTAATGTGTGTTTATCATGTCACTATATAAAACAATATTGTATGTCATGCTGTTTATGCATGACTACTGGGTTTTTAAAAGTAGTGTCTGGAGTTTGTTATGAGCACCGTGGAGACTATGTATATAATGAATTGCTGTCTTTGAAGTGAGGTACACAGTTCTTAACTATTCAAATATTTATTCTGTTGGAAAAAAAATTTTTCTGTTTTGCAATAGAAGGATGTGGAGAAATGCTTTCAGTCTGCTTTTCTTAAACCTCTTGTTCATCAATGGCAATTCATAACAAACCTTAAGTGATACTTTGTTTATATGTTTATAATTTTTATGTGTTTCTAGAAATTTTCAGATATTATTTCACTTTTGTTCTTTATGGGAAGAATAGGGAGTCTATACCAGTGCTATGGGAAAAGTGGTAACATTTCAGGGCTTCTCTGTGTGTTTCATTTCCATAGATGTCATCATGTTTCACTAACTGGCATTTCCTTAGCCATAGAGATGAATGTAGAACAATGGAAACTTTAATAATGATAGTTTTTAACTTTTATGTTTAATTTTTTTAAATCTTAAAACCTTCATATCTAGGTATCCATTGTGACAGACAAGTAAAATTGCAGGTGATTTGATAATTAAGCACCCGTACCATTTGTAACTTCATGAATTTAAAAAGTTATGCAATGCCAATTTGCAGTAGATTTTGATGCCTTTGTAGATTTTTTTTTTCTGTACCCCTATACTCTTTTAAAGCCTGTAATTCCCACTCTGTTCTCTGCCTTGTCTCTCTTTGTCTTAAAATGGTTAGTTTCCATCAGGTTCAAGTTCTTGATTGACTGATTTTCTCTTTTAAGTAGTATGCTTAAATAATCAGGAGTCAGAATTCTCTCAGATGGGTCTATGATCAGTATTACTTTATCAAGAATTACCTTTCATTTTCTCTTTATGTTGTTATTTTTTCACTTTTGTAGATTATATTTAATAGCTTATTACCTGTGATTTTATTTTAAAATATTTATTTTAAGTGATGATGCTTAAATATTATACAAACATTTGGAAAAGTAACAAATAGAGTAAATTGTTAATGTAAATAGTTGGTGCTCACTTGCATTTATCTTTATTATCTTAAAGCAACTGATAGATTTTACATCTTTGATATAAAGCACTGCCATATTTATATTTTAAAAAGGAAATTAGGCATAATTTTATATGTAGCTCAGATTGATGGCATTCTTATTTTATGTATTTGTTTTTGCTTTTCTGAGCTTTTTAAAGTCTAACAAATCTTTTTAGTCATCTTTTATATACTCTTAGCTCCACGTGAAATAGAAAAAAGTTGTTAAGCCTGTAGGACTGGATGAATGGGGTTGTGAAACTGATTTGACAAGAGAAGAATTTACAGAAATCAAATGAGTATTGAGAAGCCACAGAAATATCAAAAATGGTGACATGAATATTAGGGCGAAAATTTTAATGAAATTCCAATGCTCCCTTTAACCATATAATTAAATTACAAAAGTCTAATAAAGGATCATGAGGAATGCCAAAAGCTGATATTTTAGCAAGTCTGGTGTTTGAAATTCATTATAAACTATTTATTAACTAATGTAATGTCCTCTTCCAAGACCATGTTGTGAGAATCTAGTTAAAATGATGGATTCAACTTCTGCCTCAGATGAGAGGTTGGAAATATAGCTGCTTTTCTTTAGAAAATATATAGCTGTCATCATTTGGTACTGCCTAAAAAGAGTTAGACTCTGTTGGCAATTGATAGAATATTATCCACGGTGCTTATTATTGTTTATGAGCTTCCATTGTAATGATTCCTTTTTATTCGTAGCAGCATAATTATTTCCAAAGACCCCAGTATTTGCTGCTATTTTTAAAACTCCCCTGATATATCTGAACGAGAGGATTTCCTCACGTCATTTCCTTGTGTCTGGACATCAGGGGTAACAACTGTACTTATTTTACAGGAAGAAATTTTAAAAATGAAAACTACCTGGGATCATAGTGTTTCTGTGATTTTATTTAATTATGTATAGTAATTATCCAGTGCCAGAAAACCCGTCACTTGCAAAATATTTTGCACTCAAAATGTTTTTACAATGCTTCTAATTGTTAGTGGTTTCTGCTTTCTTTTGACTACTTGACTTACAAAATGATCTGACTACTCCATGTAAGAGCAAAGGTAACTCATGTTTAAGTAATTAACTGCTTGTTTTAAGTGATTATGATATTTCTTCCACCGTTTTTGAAAAATAACAATCATAGCATTCATTGTGAGACAGTGAGATATAATTTACTACATATATTGATTTTTAAATAAAGTTGCCTTAAATAACTGTATATAAGCAGTAGTAGTTGCTATGTACTGATTTACCTCAAGGTGCAAAATAATTAAACCTGTACATATTCCATTTACGAAATGAATTCAGATAACAGCCCTGCACTTTCTTTAGATGCCTTGATTTCCAGGATGGAGCTTAGTGCTACTGAATACCCTGGCCACCGAGCCACCTCAGGATATTCTTTTCTTTGCCCTAGTTTATTTATTTATAGATATCTGTTTACAAAGTCTGTAGTAAATCCTGATGCTGATCATCTGAAATTTACTTTTTTTCTGAATGCTGTTTCAATCTAAAATAGCAGCTTTTGAGAAAACAATGAACTAAATTCCTTATGATAAAAGGATAATTCTATATATTCTTTAATAATATTACATATGCCGAAGCGAAGCACACAGTCTTTGTGTGCGTGTGTGTGTGTGTGTGTGTTTGTGTGAATGTGAATGATATCGATCTTAAATCTGTTAAAAGTTGTTTTAAAAAGCTGTGGCATACCATTGTTCATATTTGCCAAGTCTTCTGTAAAGATGTTTAAGACAAAATATTTTATGTGCTAATGCATCTACTTGTAAAGCAGATTTGTTTATCACTCAAAATTAACTTTTCTTCATCCAAAAAAAGTTGATTTCTTCCACATACTTAAATTTTCTGTGTGAGTATAATAGCTTTCTAATTTTTTTTCTTTCACAAAAGCAGGTTCAAAATTCTGTTGAAAGAAAAATGCTTTCTCAAACTGAGGTATAACACCAGAGCTTGCTGTTTAAAGGATTATGTGATGTACATCAGTTCTGTAAATGTGCTCAGCAGTTTAACATGTGAATCCTGTTTTAAAGTGCTCAGATTTCAAATGTGTAAGCCATTGATAAAACATTGTAATTAAAAATGTTTATATGAAATAACTTAATGTTTTAAATGTATTTATGTAGATCACATCATTTTTATCATATGCAATGCAAATATGTGAAAATATTTTGGTTTATTCCAACAATTATTTATTTTAGAAAATAAATTTAAAGACTTTAAGGACATTCAAAGTTTAAAATAGTGTTCAAATTGCAAAATTTGGCAATCTTAATATAAATTGATCTCTTTTCTAGTTTTTCAAAAAGTAACATTAAGTGTTGATTATAGGAAAACATAGTTGGGAATGTAATAATCCAAAGATCATTTTTAAAATGAAATTTAATTAGCATATATTGACTTCAACATTTGACTTAGAGTAATTGTTAAACCTCAGTTTTGTTTTTTAAATCAGATTTTTGCACACTGATTAATTTTTGTGTTATGGCTTTTCTTTTGTTGAATTATTCAAGGTTTTTTTTTTTTTTTTTTTTTTGCTTTGGGGGAGATTGTCTTCCAGTGTTTACTGTGTTTAAATAAATAAAAATTGAATTTTATTGTTCATTTATATAAAATTTGATACCTTGATGTAATTTCACAGTACAGTTCCACTTTTTATGGCTTTTATAATTACAATGATATTTTCTTCTATAATAAAATCCAAAGTAAATTAAACGTTTAAATTGTAGAACTGATATTTTTCATTTATATGAAGTACAAGCCTCTACCAGGTCTATAATGTGAATGATCCTGCCTTTCAAATTTGTTTCATAATTGTTAGATGAAAACTATTTTCTTTTTGGAGATGTTACTGAAGTTGATTGAGCAATAAAAATCTACTGAATTAGTTGTTGGCTATTGTCTCTACTTTGAACTCTGATTATTAGAAGAGCCACATTTTCTTTCTCAGCTTGAGATGAGATAGGAAAGGAAGGAAAATAAGTGATGTCTGTTTCTTGCCCCCTAATATTAGTTTTCAGTAGGAGAGAGAAAAGAGGAAACAGTGAGAAAAAATAAAATCGTGTTTGTTTTGCAAAGGTATTTGATAGAGATAATTGAAATTAAAGCTCTCTAAGAAATGGCTGGTCCATTTATTCCCCCAATTTTAGAAATCTTACTGTGTGATATGCATGATAATATTGAACTCTTGGGTACAGGACTTTTGTTTGTTTGTTTTTAGTGACTAGTTTTATTACGAATTACTTTCCTTAACAGCAAATTACAGGTCTTGGTTTGTTTTTCATTTGGCATATGTGGAACTCTTTCCTCCTGTGTTTTCTGTGCTGAAAAACTTCTGATACCTCACCATGAATTTGATAGCCTTTGGAATAAGACGGAGATAGACACTTACGCTTTTGGAAATTTCATTTGAAAATTTACGTTTATTTTAGGGGAAAAATTTTTTTTTGGTAAATTTATAATTCCTGTCTCTAGACCCTGAGATTCTGTGAGCGGACAGGGGGAAAGAGGAAAAGAGTGAGCTCTATTTGATGTGGCCAATAAAGGCATATTTGATCTCTTGAATATCAGGTCTATTCTTGCTCTAGACCATTGGTCTAAAGGCATTTTATAAATTTTGGGAAGTGGTTTTATCTTCTTGTTGAGTTGATCCTGAATATCTACTTAAATGCATATTTGTTACCTTTATTTGTTCTTTATGCTGCAGTTAGGACATTATGTTGTTTTACTTTTGAACTGTATAATTTACATTATGCGTTTCATTTAAAATAATAAAAGGCATTAGAAAACAAAAGGGGATGTTTTCATAGTTTTGAGCCCTGCTATATAAGCTATAAGCTTGGTGCAAGATCTCTTGTGGGATTTTATCTTTTATGTCACAGAGGGACCCTTAACATTTGAGATGATAGGGCACTTCTCTTACAGAGCCAGTGTCATTCTTGCCTCTTAATCTTCTCTGCAGCTTTCAGGGAAGTTCAGAAATATTCTGGGATGGCCAAAACATTAGTTTAAGACTTTGATTTTACTGAGTACTGGAAAGATGGGAAGCACAATTGGTATTGCGGAGACGAGAAGTTCAGTGGAATCATGTCTTATTGCTTAATAGTTATTTATTTTTTGAGACAGTCTTGCTCTGTCTCTCAGGCTGGAGTGTAGTGGGACAATCTCGTCTCACTGCACTTCTGCTTCCTGGGTTCAAGCAATTCTTGTGCCTCAGCCTCCCGAGTAGTAGGGATTAGAGGCATGCACCACCATGCCCGTTGATTTTTCTATTTTTAGTAGAGACAGGATTTCACCATGATGACCAACCTGGTCTCGAACTCCTGACCTCAAGTGATCCTCCTGCCTCGGCCTCCCAAAATGCTGGAATTATAGGCTTGAGCCACCAAGCCAGGGCGACTGCTTAATATTTGGAATGTATGTATAGAATACTTTTTCTACTCCGCATCAGTCTTCTTGTCCCTGTCACCTTGTTTTGCTTTATTGATAACATAAATCCTGATGGTTTTATGTTCTCTGAAGTTTAATAAGTTCCGCTATACTCACTGGAGTTTGGCTTTTTCTGCATTTCCAAAATAGGACTGTATTCATTTTAAAAAATGTTTTTGATTACACAAGCCTAAGTATTGTTACCCCAGTGGGCCTGTTTACTATCCAAACCAGAGAAGCATTAGGGTTCACTGTATTCATTTGAAATCCAGTTTGGGGAGATTTAATCACCAGTGTTGACACACTCATGAGCATTTAGTGATATTAAGATGGGGTTGAATAGGGCCCAGTACTTGAAGAAATTGTCAAAGAAGCATCATTGCGCTTAAGACCAGACTCAAGTAGGTTCTACTCTGACTCCATCACTCACTAGCTCTGCCATACTGGACTACTTAGGAAACTTCTTGTGCCTCCATTTTATAACTAAGTGAAATAAATAAAGAATTTGAAATGGTGCCCAGCACAAAATTGAGCACTCAATAAATTGGCAATTTTCAATTACTTTTATTTTTTTGAGACGGAGTCTCCCTCTGTCACTACGCTGGAGTGCAGTGGCATGGTCTCTGCTCATTGCAACCTCCACCTCTCGGATTCAAGTGGTTCTCGTGCCTCAGCCTCCTGAGAAGCTAGGATTACAGTTGTGCACGACCACACCCAGCTAGTTTTTGTATTTTTAGTAGAGATGGGGTTTCACCACGTTGGCCAGGATGGTCTTGATCTGACCTCGTGATCCGCCTGCCTCTGTCTCCCAAAGTGCTGGAATTACAGGCGTGAGCCACCGTGGCCTGCCCATTTTTCATGTATTTAAAGTTACAGAATATCAAGTATATTTTTAATGCATTATCTAATGCAGTTCAGAAATTTGAAAGAAGCTTCAAACTTTCACAAAAGGTGAAGTGACTTGCTCAAGGCCACAAAATGAACTGGTGATAGTTGTACCATACAGATCTCTTGAATCCCAGGTCACTCTTGTGAAAAATATGGTGCTCTGGCACCATATTCTCATTACCTGAGGCTTGAGTAACTGAAGATGTTTTCATACCATATGAAAGGTACTTAGCATGCTGCAAATATTTGCTTTAAAAGAGAATTGCTGTGATTTTTAGTCCATAGCAGTTCTTGAAAGTAAACACTCCAAGATGATGCTGCCCTTTCCCATCAAAGGTTAGGCACCCTAAATCCATAAAAGTCTACAATGTTTAGGAGACCTGTTCTCAGGTAGCTCTAGGTTCCAGTGAAGTGGTTACAGCACAGCCTTCAGCATCACCTGCCTCCTCTTCCGCTTGCAAGCTTGGTGCTGGACCTGTCGCGTCTTTGGTTGCTACGGCGACTCCGTGGCAGGCGTCATCCGTTGCTACGGCGCTCTGCACTGCGCAGCATGGCTGCTCCCCATTGGCTGAAGCGCCCCAGGGGGCGGTGAAAGAATTGTTGGCATTGGCCTGGCCAGCGCCGGTTAGTGGGCGGGAGGAGGATTTGATTGGAAAACCAACGGTGCGGCTGGCCGCGGTGTCCCCGAGGTTGAGGGGACTGGGAATAGGCTTGGGGGAGGACGGGACAGGCTGAGACTGGACGGGCCCCCCGATCTGCAGCAGCAGGTGACAGCAACAGGGACAATGAGAAGGACGATTTGGAGACTGGCGGCGTGAAGGAGGGACCGTCCCTCCGGCGCGGTGAGTATGCGGGAGCCGGTGCTCGGCTGTGCGGGATCCGGTGCTCGGCTGTGCGGGCGCCGCGAGGCTTGAGGCAGGGTCTCCGGGGAGGTGTCCTCAGGGCCCTGTGGAGCGGCTCCGAAGCCTCAGGAGCCAGCTTCCCTAGACGAGAGGCAGGGGCAGAGAATGCGGCTGTCCTAAGTGAGTCACTGCGTGAGGCAGTCTCTGTGAAGCAGGTGGGTTTGTGTTGGACGGATGGATGGTGGGAAAGCGCCTTCAACGATGCTTCATGGCGCTTCCATTTTGACAAAAGAACTATGCTGGTTAAATGGAGCCTGAATGTGTCTCTTCCAATCTGCTCTGACGCCTCTGGAGGTTCATTCCTCATCTGTATGAGCATCGCTTTTCTGCCTTCTTACAGGATGCTTTGACTTTGCACTCTGCTTTTCTGGTCTACTTCGGTGAGCCTTTCTACTTCCTCTCCTCAGGTACCATCTATCTGATGATAATTAGAAAGCCTCCGCCTGGAACCTAGCTTCCACTAAGCGTCAGACCCCAAAATCCAGCTGCCAAGTCAACGCCACACATGTGAACCCTGAACGCCATCTTCCCCACTTCCGCTACTGTTCTTGGATTCCCATTTTGGGCCTCACTATCCATTCGGTTTTCAAAAACTACACTCTAGACAATATTAATGGCACTTACGGCTACTTCCTCTGCATCTATCAATTATCAAGACTATCCCTTCTTAATAGATGTTGAATCAATTCCCACATTGCTGTCTCTATTCCTACTGTCTCAATTTCCACCGTCCCTTGGTTAAATTCAACATCCATCTGGCTACGCTGACTCTAGTCTGGCACTATCTAATCCACTTTTTTCCCCACCATTGTTAAACTGATTTTTTTTTTTTTTTTTTTTTTTTAAGACAGCCTTGCTCTACTCCCCAGGCTAGAGTACAGTGTTACGATCTGGCTCACTGCAACCTCCGCCTTCGGGTTCAAGCAATTCTCATGCCTCAGCCTCCAGAGTAGCTGGGATTACAGGCATGTGCCACTACGGCCAGCTAATTTTTGTATTTTTTAGTAGAGAAGGGGTTTCACTATATTTTGGCCAGGCTGGTCTCGAACTCCTGATCGCAGGTGATCCGCCTGCCTCAGCCTCCCAAGGTGCTGGGATTACAGGCGTGAGCCACCGTGCCCAGCTAAACTGATCTTTTTAAAATGCATATAACAGCATTTCCCTTCCCTGCTAAAAGTCCTGCAAAGATTCCCCATTACCCTAATCCAATCATTAGTTAGGACTTCTATCAGCAGTTCCATCATTGTCACATTCTCTCCTGTGTAGCTATCTCACCTGTTGCTTACACTGCCTGGAATGGACTCTCTTTTTTGCACGCCCACACTCCTGCTCTCACTGCCCAGTCATTCTCTGTGTGTTGCTTGATTACTTTACTCCTCCTTTCTCTAGACTGTCTCTGTGACGATAGAGGCCATCTTTGTCTCAGCCACAATTTATATCTATATATATCCAGCGTTCAACCCAGGACAAGACATCATAACAGGTGTTCAACAAATACTTGTTAAGTGATCAAATCTCTAAAATGAGAAGTTATTGTTTGCCATGGCATCTTTATTTCGTCCAGAAAAGTCAGAAATGGCCAATGAAGGTTTTGCTTATAAAAGGTAAATGTTGAATTTATAGGTTTTACTTTAATTTCAAGACCCTTAGTAACTGGAAACTACTTCAAT